TGGAAAACAAACCCCAAATTATAGAATATTTGATAAATTATGTATGTGAGTATGCACATATATCTTAGATTTAAAAATATCAGGAATCATATTATATTAGTTTTCTATTTAATATCATTATAGCCTAGAAAGTGCTAATTTTTTTTTATATATAAATTTTTGTAACAAAGTTAATATTTGAATAGTTAAATGTATTTTTGTCTTGTTAATTCAAATGCTTTGACTTTCAGACAGAGCCTTTTTTTTCACATTCTGGCTTGATACTCTTATTAAGTTCAAAGCCAGCATCTGTTTCCCCATTGTTTTACAAGAAGTCTTCTGCAGAACAAATAAGTGATACAATTAATTGCAAGCATGAAGGTTAAAAACAAGTTCCTGACCTTAAAACTCAGTAAACAGAATTTTCTAGTATAGTCCTTTCGTCATCTTTCATTACATTTGCAAAATAAATCCATTATCTCCATTATTTAGCCCTTCTTGTTCATGCTACTACTTTTCCTGGTATCTTGATCTTGTTTATTGAAATCCTTAAACATTTTATTGTAAACAAATCTGTACTTCTCAAGGTTTTCAATGCTAAGTTTTCAGATATAACTATTTTAATTTCTTACATGTAAGATTTGCTTGTTCCTACATCTTCTTTCACACAATAATCTCTAATTTATCTACTTCCTTGAAATGTATGAAAGTTGCCGTATGAGCTTACTTAGGGCTTTTCTCCAAATTCACTGTATTCTCAGTTCATAATTTTGAAAATTAACTGTTCACCATTTATGAGTTGTTGCTGAGTTGAATTTCAACTTTATATAGTGTGCTATCTCATTATGTGATTCCATATCTTACCAAATACAGACAATTTTTGTGGGATTTTTTTAGGTGCCTCTTCAATCACATGATAGTTGAACTTTCTTTTAAAAAAAGTTTTCATCTTGGATGCAGAGTAAAACTTGAAGCTCTGGATGCTGTAAAAGTGAATGTAAATAAGAAAATTACATTATTTCATATTACTTTGAACCAGTGTTTTAGTTTGGTACAGTGGGGCTGTATTTTGATTCTATTTTTTTTTTTTTTTTAAATCGGGTTTTCAATACAATTTTAGGTTTTGACTGATGTTTCATCTTTGTGAGTTTTTATCTTTTATTTGCTATTGATATCTCATTTCTTATAAATGATTATTTAATAAGTAACTGTGCATATCCAATTTGGTAATAGTTCAAAACTTTTAAATCCTGAAAATGGAAAAAAATAGGAGAAGGCTGCTGCTTATGACAAGGCAAACTGCCACTAAGGACCGAGTTTCCCAGACATGCTGGGCACCCTGCTTGACTACTCTGTTTTTATACATACATACCTAGTTGGAAATGGACAGAGAATAAAAAATATCTCAAGTATTGTATGCCATTAGATACTGGGTGCTACATATAAATCCTTGCAGTGCTAACCTATGCTATAAAATGACTTCTAGCAATATAGGTATCCTGACTGGCACCCAGACACTTTCTGTGCAAAGATATCCAGTGAAAATCAAAGGCAAGCAGCAAGATTCACATATTCAGCTAGGAAAAGCTGAGAAAATGAAGGCATAACTTAGATGCCTAAATACTGATATGATATGAAAATGTGTGCAGTTCTCTAAGTTGCTTTTGGATGACTCCAGGAATGTTTAGAAATTGGTTCATTTTTGTATGGATGAAATGGAACACACAGTTTATGCATCAATATTAACAATGCCTGAGAATCAGCAAGCACAAATAGGAAGGAAATTTCGTTTTTATGCCATGCCTGTAACTGCTTCTATTTCTTTATTTATGGAGGGACATGTGCTATTAACTGACATTAATCAGAAAACAATACTACCATTGGCAAAGAAGATCTAGCAAATGTTTTGCTATACTCTGAGAATATGGAGTTTATTTATTCATAGTTACAAATAGAGACTGTAAAGGCCACATAAAAGTGAAATGAAGTGAAAGAATATGCGTAGACAACAGGAGGAAAATGCTTTAAAAGCATAAGTGTTTCTATGTTTCTTAAAATATAATAGGAATCTGACTATTTTGTTTGTTCTAGAATTTCTCATTTTCAAACAGTAGCTCAGCTAGAAATGGAATAGGTGATTATGTGTCTGGTCTATTGTTATAGTTGCTTGACACTGTTTGATTGTGATTTAATGAATTTTCTTTGATTTGAAATATAAGTTTTCATATGCAAGCACCGGTCTACATTTACCTTATATAATACAATGGGATCATTATTAAAGTACTTAGTAAAAAATGATGGCAAAACAAATTCTAGTCCATATTTAACATTCATTTTGTCAAATAGCACTTAGAAAGCATGTTTTGTCTTGTCTTGATATTCATTCAACAGAAATGGAAAGGAAAAGTCATCTCTACCTGCGGATGGGTAAGTGGAAGAATGAAACATGCCTTAAAGTTTCAGAGTGTGTGAGACTGCACAGCCTCAGTACACCAGGGCTTAACCTCTCCAGGTTACAGTAAGTCTGTACTTCTGGAGGGCTTTTAATAATGACCAGTTTGCTGCAGTGTTACCATGGTCAGTGTCCAGTTGGTTATCAGTATGTGTATCATGTACTATATGTTATTGTTAGCTTTTGGCATGTTGCGTTTCAATTTGGTACAAAAGACAATGTAGGGCCTCTCCGGGCCAAGCTTCACAGAAAGGATATCCTGTCTTTATTGGCTTGGAACAAGACATAATAAAATAGAGTTGTTGCAAGCACCATCAGAGATAAAGGTGAAATGGAAAAATGCATCTTCATTTCTTTTTCTGCCAGATGTACTCTTGTTGCTGAAGTTCAGGTTTCAGGTTCTGAAACCTGAAAATACTGAAATCTTCAGTTGCCTATCTTGTCTACAGCCATTTGAGATTCAAATCATCTCCACAGCTACATGCCAGAAGAGCACACACATGGATAGATGACATTACAATTAAGAGCAGTAATTATGAGCATGATTTCTATTATTCTGTGTGGGTGCTGGGTCCTGCCTTTTGCTAGTGCTAAGTTACTACACCACTAGTCAGTGGTGAGAGACTAGACAGAGTGAGAGACTTTTGTTCTTAAGTTTAAGAATCTAATTCTCAGCTTTCTGGAGAGCAAAAATGTTAAAAAGGAAGGAAAAAGAAAGTAACTATTACATAATTGAATGGTTCTGGTATGACACACCTCCACTTCTGTTGACAAAATGTCCCTCAAGTGCAGAAGATAGTTTAACTCGTTCATAGACTCTAGGTCAAACTGATCAACATCAAAACATCCTGGCTTAGTATATTCAAAATTGTTTCACACATTTAATAGTTAGACAGGAAGACATTAAGTTTTGCCCCATAAAGTTACTTTCTAGATGTGGATCTTGAATACTCAATGGCTTCTATTCTGCCTATATTTTATGCTACTGGACAAATTGGGAAGCAGTATAGTCTATCTTTCTTACAGAATGGTTCCTTTGGTTGTTTCTTTTATTGTAAATTTCAGTAATTTGTCCTGGTGTTTTTCCACCCTATGGAGAACTTAAATCTTAAGTTTTCTCTAAAATCTGTTTGGTTTATCTCTATGTTCTAATATTCTTATGAATTTAATTTATGTAAACAGCTGAATATAGTTTTTTTTAATATCGACTCTCTACCCATGTTCATACCACAAACTAGATAAAAAAGGAGAACAAACAAAAAAGCTAAAGTAAAACAAAATCTCTATTACATGTTTCCTGAACCAAAAAATAGCCGACGAGTTAATGTGAATTACAACTGATTTCCTAATCAGACACTTACTGAGAAATTATTTCAGTGTTTAGTTATTGAGAGGTAGTCAGCCAATATAACACCTTTTTTGGCCATAGATGAAGTCAAGTTAAACAATGTTGCTAGTAAATAAAAATAGTTGCTTAGTAAATACACATATGTAAACTGTAGGACTCGTGTACATCTTGACTTGATTTAGTCATCTGGCCTTCCTATTTTACACTGTAGAAAACAGTTGCTTGTACTATGAACTTTTTACATACCAAAGTCCATAATAAATTTGTAAAAGCGCCTTTTCCTTTCCTCTACATATAAATGAAGTCTACCCGGACAAGCTCAAGCTTAGGTATTGCAGATACCTAAAACCACCTGAGCTGTACTTATTATGTGCTAGCAAATATATAATTTCATTTTCCACTCAAAATAGCATGCCCTCATATATCTGCAGATCAGCCACCAAGATCTAATCCAAAGAAGTCTTGCAACCCACCAATACCTTTGATCACCCTTGTTACCCCAAAGGTTAACATTCACAATACCTGATGGATCATCAAACTCCTTCATGACACCTGTTGAGCAACAGTCTTCTATGCTTTTGCATATACACACTATTCTTGATCTAAACTTTGTCTATACATGATCCAACTTCCAAGTTCCTTAGTGTCTACATCCGCATCTCATTCAATCTTTCTTGAGGTTTTATGTCTCTAGAGTTTGGAACAACAGGATTATTAGTTTGAAACAAAACGGTTGTTACTGCTATGTTGGTGTATTTGTTGTCTGCAAACAGAAGAATTTTGAAGACCTTCAAACTGAAGTGAGAAAATAGCATCACTTTAAAAGTTCAAAGAAGAATATTGAATTGTGTCAAAGTATACCTTCCCAGTTTCAGTCTGGAACTACTCAGAAAGGATGTTTCTCAAGAAAGAAGATAAAGAGGTTAAAAGTACATTTCCAGAAACAGAGCAGTGGCAGAAATAATGACATTCTGGTACCTTACCATTGTTCATTTTATGATCAGTTGTGGAGAACTTTTATGTGAGCAAATAAGTCCGCTTAAAGCAAGGAAATATGAAGCTTTGTAACTTGAATGATGATGAAGATGTGATTAGACATAACTTGATAGCAATTGTTCTGAAAAAAATGACAGTGGTTTGGAACCTGACTTTCATAAAAGGAAGATATTTTCTTTATAATTATCATGGACTGTATTATGAAATATTTCACTTGTTACCAACCTGCCATCTTAGTATCAGATGAGGGTAGTTATGGTACCAACAAGTTTGTCCTTTCATTCACAGTTCTACTTCCTTTGAATTCTTGCTTTCAGCTATGCTCTCGTGGCTAGGGAAAGCAAAATGCATTTTAAGATTATTTTGAAATCAAAGAGAACAACAGCACCTTAATGGAGAGAACAGCAACATTAATATGGAGCAACAGTATTTATGTCAATATTTAAGAGTATAAATCTATGTCTTTAGAAAACAAAAATTATGAGAAAAGTGTGATAAAACACATTCAGTATTATCTTAAGCTCCTTGAATAATGCAACAGCTTCTTTTTGGCATAGAAGTTGCTCTATCATTGTTCCCACTTTAGCCAGTTTTTGGAAACGATGAAATATGCTTTCCTAACTCTTTAAAAGATACATAAATTCTGAAATTATTTGATAAAACAATCTTCCTTTGTATATTCATTTTAACTTCCTTCATTGTAATCCCTTCCTGGTTTTTTTTTTTTTTTTTTTTTTTTTTTTTTTTTTTTTTTTTTTCCCCAAGGTTTGTAGATGTTGTCTTGAATAGCTAGCCTTTTCTCCACTGGGTCAGAGCATACTTTTAACATTGCAGATGCATTAGAATTACAAGCTAGTTCCCCTTATAGGCAATGATGCATGGTCTTTCAAAAGACAGACTCCTGTCTGCTAAGGACAACTGGCATGCACCATCCTTACATTTCTATTTTTCTACAGTAAGAAGCCTAGATGAAAAATATAGGTCAGCTATGATTTGGACTACTACAGTGAGATCTGTTAATTCAATCATCCTGTTGGTTATCTTTCCCAACCCCTTTATCTACAGAAATATTTTGATTAGATGGAAGGCAAACCAGATTTCATGTCTTTGTATTGTATTTTTGGAGAAAGACAACAAATATTTTTTTGTTCCGAAGCTTCTACCATTGGTATGACTGTTCCACTGGGGACTAGTTTGACCTTGTGAAGAACATCCAGCCAAGGTTTGGCCACTGGATAATCACTCCAGTGATTGTTTAATGATTCTGAAGCACAACAGAAGTGGATGGATATCTTGACAATATTGCCAAAAGTCAGGCATACCAAGGACATAGAAGACATGAAGGAAAGAAAGAAATAAAGAATGGAAGACAAAGAGATTGAGGATAATCACAAAAAAAACCCTTAAAATGCTTCTTCTAGAAGATCTCTTACGTGATTATGAAATGAATGGGAAGACATAGATTTTTCACGGGATGTGCTTAAGAGACTATGCAATTAGAAGAGGGAAACCTCAGTAATACAAACATCTGTGGTCTTGTTTCTGCATAATCATGGACTACAAAATATGGAAGCAATATTTTGGAAAGGAAGAACTAGCAAATGAGCCACAAACTGACCAACCATTAGCAACACAGACTTCTGTCTTTAATTCTGTCTTTAATCAAGGCTCTGAAACAAGAGTAGATGCAATATTATAAATCTTAAAAGAGCCTCTAGTTATTATATAGGATAAAACCCTGAGGTTTTACCCTATATCTGATGCTTACACATAACTGACTAGTCTAGTGCAACTGTATACCCACTTTTCTGGATGAGTTGAGTTTAAACAGAAGTGAAGAGAAAGGAGATTTTATTTTCTCAGTAAGTAAAAAATATTAGAGTTGAATACAAAGATAGTGGATTCAATGCACCATATGACAGGCCAAATTTGCCATGCCACCTGATTAGTCAACCTGATTATAGTCTCCAGGCAGCTTGCACATGTGACTTAAAATAGCATCTCTAATGTCTTTGTAGTAACAGACCATGTCAGGAAGAAATTCAATTGGTTGTTTGTATGCAAAGGACAGTTTTGCAGCCCATAATTCATAACATCCTAAATTTAGGGAGGTGATCCACCTTCCCTAAAGATCGCAGGCATCATGATGTACTCATCATGACACAATCAAACGAAAGGCAGCAATAATGTTACAGTTCAGATGAGTCAATTAGAAATGCCATCTTGCTAGAGGGCAGCTTTCACCAAATCTGCATTGCTCAGAAAGCAGTTCAATTAGACAGATAATGCAGTCCAAACAGAAAATTTCCCAGCTGTCCAGTTTAAAGATGAAATTTTAAATTGGTTTGCATCTTATTTAAAATTTGATTATAACATGGATTTCTGCCAAAAGGAATAAAAGGCTGTCTTACAGAAATATTTCAGTGATATATATTATATTCTTCAAGACTTAAAGGACAGCATAGAAGAAATCATGAAATTGAAGGTAAGAGAATTTAAAATTAATTGGTTTAGACAGAAGTTTTATGGGAAGGAGCAGAAACAAAAAAAATCTTTTCCTTTCTGTTTATGTTAGGGTATTGCTGCTTCCAGCTGGTTACAACAGTTTTGGCCTTTGGTCTTATGAAATGGTATAAATGACAGTAGCTGAAGTTGAAAGGTCTCAAAGAGAGCCAGTAACCTCACAGCATGATAAGCTAGAAGAAAACACATTTCAGAGTTTTTGTGTATTTTTTCATACATTAAACAACTATACTTATAAAGCTTTTGTTCTGCTGCAACTCTTGGGAAAAATATACTGCTATTTGAGTCTGTTATCACCTTGTCAGGCTCTCATTTTTATCAGTTTGTAAACAGTCAGCCTAAGAGAATAGATGTAGAAAACCTTCAGAATGACCAGTCCTGTGACTCTAAGGATGTAGGTGGATGATGATAATTTTGAGGAAAATTTATTACATTGTTTCTGATGCCTTTCTGTATAGTTAACATGCTTTATTATGCTGATATTTTTCCTTATTAAATTGTTTCCTAATAAACCTGGTTTATAAAAATATTGGTATAAGTAAGCTAGCATGACATGCAATGATAAATTATTATCAGGCCAACTGTGCATGCATTCTCATAAAAGCTTAAGGCATATAGAAAGACCACTTATTTTTTTACAAATATCTCAAATTCTTGTCCAAAAATCAGAGACAAGACATTAATTTTTCTTTGCCTTTATTGACCATTAGTAAAACATCTTCAGATGGTCCCCTAGGGAAACAAGACTCCTGTGGCAACACTGGCTGTGTGCAAATGGTATGTATATGCTACTAACTGAATTTCAGTCACTTTCTGCTTGATTAGTTACTTCTGACAGAGAGCTGGGAGTACCAAAGTTATGTAAGCTCTTGGAGTTTTCATAAAAATTGGTACTTGGGAAGAGAACACCCTATTAATACACACAAAAAGAAAATCTTCAGCATGAGTTCAGCCCATCATAAAGGCCAGAGACTGCAGAGGGGAAAGAGCTGTAAAAACAAATCAAACCAAATAAGCAGCTTTGGTAGGGCAATTCACTGCCTGCTACAAACTTGTCAGTACAAGAATTCAATTTACCTGACTTGTTCCCACCTACAGCTTAGGTAAGAGTTACCTCATCAACAGTGGCCAACTGAGAGTTATTTACCCAGGCTAGTCGTGCTGGCTATGTCTATAGTGTTGAATGAAACACGGCTAAGGACTAGCCCTGACTAATAGCACTGTTCACTCTCCAGGACACTTAGGTACTTTTTTGAGAAGGTCTGCTTCTACAAACACACAAAACCTAGGTGTAAGATATCTGATAAAGATGGACAGAGTTCAGCTTTAGATTTTCATTTATTCTAGTGCTCACTTAACAATTTTAATGTCTATAGTTGTATCCGCAACTTATACGGTGGCTTTGGCTAGGAGAAAATAAGTTGTAAATCTGAGGCACTTCCAGACAGCAAAGAATGAAGTATTTTAAGTATTTATCCAGTGTTTGAACTCATTGCCTGATGTTTTTTTTAATTTCACAATAGGGTATCCATGGTCAGTGGAGCTAACAGACATCTCCATTGGATGAGATAAATTGTGCTAGGAAAGATCTTTGCTGTTGATGACAGTTGAAACATATGCAGAAAGGTTAGACTACACAATCTGATTTTAAACAGTTAAAATCAGGTATGATTAATCCCATCCTGGAAGCTACAGAACTGTTCTCACAATACCTGAGTTCCTTACAATGATGAAGACACGTTTTTTTGAAGATACCATAAGGAAATCCAATTAGCTTAACTTTGCTTGTTAAACTGAATGAGGCAAAATCACCCTCTTGAGAAACAAAGCCTAACTATTGAATATCCAGGAAACTTAACCACTTGCCTTGAAAGATAGCTTCAACAAACTCAAGGCATTTAGGTGTCTAATAAAGATGAGCAGATTTCTTTTTCCAGATTTCTTTAGTTCTTGTGCTTATTGAAAAACCTTAACAACATTAGAGTTGTGTAAATTTTAGTATGTAGTATTAAAACTAACGATTATACTGTAATTTTAATCATCTGTTACCACAATAGCAAAAGATTACCAAAAAATTACAAAAGGCAAAACATGTCTGATTCTAACATGACAGATTTTTCACCTATCCTGTTAATATAATTTGTATTATTAAGAACTTGTCTAAATTGAGGAACCTAGAAACATCTTTCAGTTAGTGAATCTAAGTGTATGATCCAGCTGCTTTCTAGTTGGATGAGCAGAGAAGAAACTGTGGTGTATTCAGTAAGACCCCTTGCCTGGCACACCATCATCATGTTGTGAAGATTTAAACAGAAGTTTAGGAATGGCGATTTCTTTGCAGGGGGTGTGTGTATATTCACATACATATATGCATTCATATATAAAAATACTTCTTTAAGAATATCCATAATATATTATATGAGTTTTGCAAACAGTTTCTTAACTAGAAGATCATTAAAGGTAGAAGAAACATGAAAATAAATAATACAGTAGGAATCAAACAAGCTACCTGAAAGAGCGATGAGGTCTACTTGATGGACTTGCTCTGAACAGCAGATACATCAGACTGAGAATAACAGCAAAAGACAAAGAAACAAAAGAAGAAAGAGAGGATGCATTTGTACCAGACGGAAATAAAATTGTTCAAGGCTGCAGCACTGTGGAGGCTTGGGAGAAATGGTAGTGTTTTCCTGTCCCTGGGAAAGCTTGGAACTGATTCCAAAAGGCAGTACTCAGGGATGGGCTGTAGCTGAATTGTTTCCTCAGTCTCTATGGTTAACATATACACTAGGAAATGCTTATGATCAA